AAGTCTGCACGAGGATCCACAGCATCGGGCGAAACGGGGGACTCGGTGGTGTGCGAGAATCAGTGCGGTGAGCGCGTTCCCTGTTGCTGCTCCGTGCTCTAGATTTTGAACAACTCTCTCCGAAGAAGACTATATATCTCGCATGCCATGATCGAGTGTTCTTGCCCTTCCAAGCCTGGCGGCTCTACTAACTAGGCTCTCCCAACTCGAACCTAGACCCAGAAGCAGCCGATGGGAATCGAGTTAGAGGCGGTCCACATAGCAAAAGAACGGCCGTGCCGGCGCTTTTCAGCCTTCATTCCGCGCTTCTCTCGTCGATCGTCAGGCCCAGCTGCCTTGAGCTGTCGAGCTGCTTGGCTTGGGCCGCGCTGAGCGTTGGGGGACATCTCAGCGCCAAGCCCGGCAGCGATGAGCTGCTTTGGATCGCAGGGGATGGTCCTGAGGTTTCGCGGAGTACGTAGGGGTTAGCCAGACAAAGGAAAGGAGCCTAGAGTCCTAGAAGCCTCAAACTTCCGAGCTGCGGGCTGGTTCATGAGAGCTTCGTTGACTTTGTTGTGCCTCGGGAAAGGGACGGGACAGAAGAGTCAGACATGCTTGCTACAGCACTCTGCGCGCGAGTGCTGAAACCGGGTGCCCGACGCCTGACACCACCACACCTGGCAAAAATGCCGAGAGGCTCCAGCTTGAAACAGGGCCTATAGTGGCATTGGCAAATCGGGCAAAGGCACCGCGTAGTCTTCGCGAGACTTGGTTTGCGGTGGCATCGCCTCAGGAGATTCCCCGGCTCTCCGCCTTTGTTTCGGAAGACATGCGCGGCAGAGCGAGGGCCCAAGGCCTCGCAGACGTCCAGGAAGTGAGTGGCACAATGGGAGCACCTCAAATCTCTCAGAAACAAGGCAGCTTTATTTGCCACTGGCCGGCCCTTCAGGCGTTCAGGCGGCAACGGATAATTCTGCACGAAGGCTGCCAGCCAGGCCTGCGCAGGGCGCAGGGCGCAGGGCGCTCACTGAAGCTTGAGCTGTGTGGGAGCTGCGAGCTGCGAGTGGCCTGGGCCTGTTGGGAGATCGCTTCCGAGGCCTCGGCAGGGTGCTCCGCGGCCTCAGACACAAAGTCTCTCCTTCTCTTGTGCACACAGAGAGTCGAGAGTGTCTGATGAACCCCCCCCTCGGACCATGGAGTGGAGATATCTCCAGGCCGCCCTCCCGATCTCCGCGCGGTCCGGGGGCTCCACCTGCAAATCTCCGGAAAGACAAGCCGCGGAAAGGTAACCGCCGAAGCAGTCGCCTCGTCGTCGTCGAGGGCCGTCGTGTCTGACCTCCCACGGTCAGAGAGGCGAAGAGGGCGAAGAGACCCAGAGAGACACCCCCGGGTCCCTGTTGGGGGGCCGGGCCGATCTCTGCAGGAGCTCTCTTCACAACGCTTCTCTGTGCGGAACTTCTCCCGGAGCGCGGCCCTGAAGAGTCAAAAACTCTTGCATCCGACGTGCTTCCGCTCAAAGCGACGCCTTCTTTGTGTTTCAAGGCCCTGGCCAGTTGGTGCTCATGGCACCGGAGCTCGCAGCTTCGGTAACGACAGCTCGCGGTGTTCTTGTGGCCAAAGCTTTGCGAAGGCTACAACCACAGCTACAGGCCGCAGCCTCTCTGTGGGCCTAAGTGCCCTAAAAGCTGCTTTGAAAGCAAAAACATCAGCTAAAGCGATGCTTTCTTGAGCCGACATGTCGAAGACCTCTTCCTCATCATCTGGCAGAAGCAGCAGCAACCACAACAACAGCAACCGCAATCACAACCATCGCAACCGCCACTGCAGTCGCAACAACAACAACCACCACAATCATAATATGACCGTTGAGGCCATCGTCGGCATCTTCATCATCGCCACCCCATCGATGTCAGGCGGTGCCCACGCACGGCTCAGCACACAGGCAGCAGCTTACAACAACTCCCCCCGCGAGCTTTCGCATCATTGCTTCTGGCGCGGTCACGCGCGCTGTACACTGCAATGATGGTGAAACATCCTACCCGCTCTGAAGGACATTAAATACGCATTGCTCTGCAAGCATCGGCTCTGTGGCACAGCCCAAGCCGGCATGGCTCCTCTGAAGCGCAAAGACACAACGTGACACATTCCGGCGATAAGAGCGCTAAGTCACTCACTCACTCTCACACCAAAAATGCAATACAAGTCGATGCAGTGCATTGCGGCATGCAGAAGTGTCAAGGCCATATACAGTAACCTATTTTGCACAGAGCACCTGTGCATCTAGCGCTGCACTTTTCCACGTGGCAGGCTCCTCTAAACCACTGATGATTACTGCGCATTATGAATTGCATACATGCTCTTGCGGCTCCCTTGCAAGAATGCGGAAGACTCCTCCTCATGCGGCGAACAGACGAGGACCCTGGCAATCTCACAATTATCGTGCACCCGACGAAGATTCGAGGGTAAGTTCAATGGCGTGCGGCTTTCGGTTTGAGGGTCGGGGGTGGGATGTGGTTGGGGTAGTAGGGGGGCACCTTTGGGCATGCAACATCCATTCGTACTTCCCAACTAGATGCCCTTTGTTTGGTTACCAGTTACAAGTAGCGGCTGTAGATGTCATTGCTCGTGTATGCATGTACATACATGCATGAGTATGCTGTACATGTATGAACAGTACATACCCTGCACCAGAACAGATTCTATCTATGCACCTCATGATTTCACCAAACGTACAGAGCTCTTTGGACAACACCAGTCTTGAAGCTGTGCAATGCCTGACGAAATAAACCGGCCGTATGTTCGACCTCAATGCTTGAGTATGGAAAGGCAGTGCCATGCAAAGAACACATGAGGGCACGTGTGCGATCTCATGGGTAGGTGACAACTTGTTCGAAATGTTCGACTTCTTGTCGGAAAATGCGCGACAACTACAGTGCCAGATCTCTGCATACGTAAGTACAGACAGATAGACAGGCAGGCAGACAGACAGGCATTCAAATATTGTCAATGCTGTTCAATGCTACTCATTGCTCGCGGCCTATTTCTCGAATTGAACGTTCGTTTGCCCTGCTTCATATTGTGTACCTATATGAATGCAACCCAACTGAATATTTGCATTGCAAAGGCGAGAATATTCAGTTGCCTTGATGTGCTGGTGCTGGATACTATATGCCTACATACACAACCCCAAATTCTTGGAACAATATATATATATATATACATGTATGACCCTCCAGTCGGCTGTTCACGCGCTCCAAACTTGGTGCGATATCTGATTCGCACGGCCCTGCCACTGTGCTCCACTGGTTTGTTTGAAGAGATGCAACATGTTTTTCTAGTTTGCTGGCCCTGCCACGATTCGGAGTGTTTTCACAAGAGTCATTGACATTGGATGCTCTAGCAGCATGAACACTATCATCACACAGGCATGGACGGGGCAATATGCTCTGGTAGCATGGACGGGCGACATTGGATGCTCTGATAGCATGGACACTATCATCGTGCGGGCATGGATAGGGCGACATTGGATGCTGCGTTTACCGCCACAAAAAGCAGGTGCGAAACCCTCAAACTGCGGAAAGACCCTCCTGCCGACGATTCCAGCCGACAACCGCAAGCTGAAACTGCGCAGCTTCATCCAACTGGAGGTTACAAGAAACCAAAAACACACGAGAAGAAGAGCAGAGCCCTACAATCAAACCAAACTTTTTACCAAGCAATAACATGGTGCCGAATGCTTGAGGCGCCTTGGGCGCCTCGGGGACCGGCGCCGGCCTGTATGGCTTTACAGCCGCAAGGATGTGAGGAAATCGGTGTCAGTTAGATTAGAGGAACGAAGGGCTGGCAAAAAATGTGCTTTCAAGCCGGCTGGCATACTCTACTATCATGGAATCACACGGCATACCCTACCTTAAGAACCCAATAAATCCCATATTAGGGTTTATAATAATAAGGACCTACAAAAAAGTGGGTTTTGGGTTCTTAAGGTAGACCCTAAACCCAAATGAAAATCAGAAGATCCACTTGGTCGGGTGCCCTTGCGCGGCGCCACCCGGCAGGGCTCCGGGGCCCATTAAATGCGCGGGCAGCGGTGGCAGGTCGCCTGGGACACCGAAGGTTTCATATTTATTTACGCTTTTTGGGGGGGCCCGGGCATCCTCAGGGTGTGAAGTTTAGGGCAGATATGCATTGGTGTACATGTCAGGCTGTGGGCACCAGGATCTAGAGTGCAGGGGGTATGACAGTGTCGGTGCTGGAACTGTGACGATGACGATTTCACGGAAGGCTTAGGTCTGCAAGCTAGGCGTCTGCGTTTCTACACATCAGTGCACATCATGCACTCGGTGTGCGTCACTGTGTAAAAACCGACCTTCCACGTTTGGAAATCTGGTCGTGATCATCTTTGGGTCTATGTGGACATGCACATATATATATATATATATTCACAAGCATAAAGACAGAGCGAGAGAGAATGTGTGTGTGTGTGCGTGCCTATATCTGTGCACATATGTACAGAATACAAACAACACCAAACAAAACATATCATGACATGCCCGCATGTACATGTGTGCGCAAGCATGTGGGTATGTATGTGGATAGATAGATATACATATATATATATATACATACACGCGCACATATGTACATACATATATATATATACATACATACGCAGACATACACCTATCTATCTATCCATTTACCCCCGAACCTCCAAGATCTGAAGGCCCCGAGCCTTGAACTCAATGCAAAGAAGCAAAACACTCCTTAATCAGCACTAAACGGTAAGCCCTAAAACCCTAAACTCCCAAGCTCCAAGCCCTAAACTCCTACACCCTAAACCCTTCAGAATCCTTTGCTCTTGATCGCTTCTCTGGGGCATCCGGCCCTGTGTGGAGCTCCTGGAGCAAGCAAAACGATGCAAACCAGAAGCCGCGAGATACGATTGTTTAGGATCGCATTCAATTAGGGTAAACGGCTCCGATGTGGGTCTCTTGAGGGATCCATAAGGCTTCCAATAGTATGTTCGGAAAACTAGTATGTTCGACAAAAATGTGTGCGTATATATATATATATATATATATTATGCAAGCAAGTGCGAGTTTTCATATACACAGATATCCACACATTCTTGCTCGCTCAGGATACTTTTTGTCTCCGCAGGCCGCGGAGGAGCACGTTGTCCTTATGCCCCGGACGCACAACAGGACGACCTTAATAGCTGCCCCTAACCCGGTGGCCCTAAACCCGACTCCCAAGCTCCCAAGCCGAACTCCAACCCGAATTGTCACCTACACCCGAGACCCGTGCGTGAAAATCTGGAGCCCTTCCATGGTCTGAAGTTGCTGCATGCTGTGCGTGCGAATCAAGGGAAGGCTGCGGAACTAAGACCCTTGAATCGTGTAGAGCGACGTCTCCAAAATGCATCAAAGCACACGGAGAGGTTTCAGCAATGTACAACGGAGGCCCGAAGTGATGCTGCACATGCTTGTGTCCATGGAAACTCACGTCTTTCCGTGCTCATGGGTTCACATGGAGGGTACCCGAAGACCCCAAAGCCGCCCCCGAGAAGTCTTTTCGAAACCCTGGGTCTCCCGGTCACCAGTGGAAGATTCTCGGAGGGGCGCCGGCCTCCGGGCACCGAGCCGGGGGAAAAGGGCTCGGGGGCTGATCTAGGTCTCAGATACGCGCACTGCCTTGTCACAAGCGTATCCTACAGAAGCGGCACATTCATTCGTAACAACTGCCCCAACTCACTAGGCTCTTAGAGAGCGTTGAGCTGTCCAGGCACGCTGGCTCTTCTTCTGCTCTCTCGGGTAGCCTTTTCCGGTCTTCAACTGCTGGTGCGACAGCTTCCTGCAGCAAAGCACAACATCAGCACGTGCCTGGGCAGAGACTGTAGCTCCGACAATAAGTAGCCGATCATGCCAGCACGGATTATTCGTCCATTGTACACTTGTACTTGTTTTACAGCTGATGCAAATGTTTCGGCGTCGACAGCAGCGTGTGGAAAAAACTGAGCAAGGACTGGAGCCATTGCCATGCCGGCGTCTTCCAACACCGTCCTGCGCGAATCCTGATCGTAAAAGAAGTACGCAAAAACGCCTCAGCAGAACGAGGGCAAAAAGCACACCCCTCCAGTCTAAGGTGAACACCGACTCGATCCAGGCCCCATGCAACAAAAGAGAAGCAAGATGCCTACCAGGCGCAGCAGTGCCGCTGCTCAATCGCTGTGCTGATTCAGACAGGCACAGGAAAGAAGCGCCTATGGCGAGGGGCCACGCCCACGGATGCACTCCAGAATGGGACTCCTCGCATACCAGCAGCGGGCTTGAGGGCTCTTGAGACCATGGGTTCCGTCTCAAGACATTCCTCGTCGTGGCCGGAGTCAGCTACGAAGCCCACCTGTGCTTCCGGATTCGGCTCCAGGGTCCTGGGGGCCTCCCTAGAAGTCAAGAGCCAGACAGTTGTGGTCGTGTCCTGGACGTCTGGTGCCACTACACTCTCTGTGCCCGTAGGGCCTAAAAATGCGTGACGGGGGCCAGCATCGAGCAGGTGAAGTCGATGTCTTGGCTCAAAGCTGCCTCGTCTCAGACAAAAAAAATCCCCCCCTCCTCTCCTCTGCTAAGAGGTCAGCCTAATACGTAAAAACTCTCAGGCCGACACGGCGTAGTCCGGCGACACCTGGGCGCTTGCCAAGGTCCCCGAGTTGCTGTAAGCCGTCGGTAACAAAAAGCCGGGGCCGCGGAGACGAAGTTGCTGCAGGCGTCCTCGCAGCCGAAGCAGGCGAAGCGCACCAAGTGCTTCCTGACGGCGGAGGAGTGGACAGCTGTTTGTCGTGACCTGGTGCGCAGCGGAGGTCTCCGGACCTGCGTGGATTCGAGCCCTCGGCGAAGTAGAGGTCGTTCCCAGCCTGACGTTTGGTCGCATGATTGGGCTCGACGGCCAGCACAGCATGATCTCCTTGATGAACCGGGCCGGCATCAGCGTCGTCGTCAGGACCTGCGACGCGCACCGATCCGCCCTCAAAAGCCGCCTCTTCGAGCCCTGCCTCTGCCGCTACGGCCGAAGGCGCCGCCGGAGCTGCCGTGGGTTTCGGGCTCGCGACTTTCGGCCTCGCCGGGCTCGGTCTCGGGATGGAGCTCGCATCACAGGACCTGCCCGCAGACGGAGAGGGACATGGCCGGCCGTGATGTTTTCCGTGCCGTGAAAACTCTCCACACCGCCTCGGCCCAGCCACGGCGTTGGGGATCGCCTTGGGCTGCAGGCCGGAGCCCTGGAGCCAACAGCCTCCGCCCTGCAAGTAGTAGGTGAAGACCTCAGACTCGACAAGATGACAAGATGCGGCACATGGCGCCCCCAAACGCCCAGGCCCCCAGCAGAGCAGTTCAAGTGCTGCGCCTCGGCTCCCGCTGGCTTTGGACATAGCTGCTGCATTTTTTGTTTCAAAACAGGCTCTGCAGAATAGGATTTTGAGAGAGTTGTGGGTGGCTTGAGAATTCTTCTATAGAGCGTCCTTGCTGCTGACTGCCGCTGGGTCGTGGGCGCACTTCTCTTGACAGACGCTTGCGTCCAGCACTCCAGTGCCGCCATTTACCGAGGTGACCACAGGGTCATCGTACCTCTCCGAGTATGTCTCGGCTTTTTGATTGCCTCTAGGCGAAACTCCGAGGGAAGCGCCCTTGACCGACAATGGCACAGCTGGGAACACCTCAGCTCTCACAGCAATAGCAGAATCGAAAGAAACTGCGACGAGTGTCTGAGAGACGCAGAGGAAGGTACTAGCTTGGCTTTGTTGCGCCACCGAGGCCACAAGAGCCTCGTCGGACAGCTCTCCAGCGGCTCACGGCTCTTCAACGACGGACGGCTCCTCCCATTTTGTTCCAGCGATCGTCGGCTCGCTGTCATGGATAGCTGAGACGGATTAAAGTGGAGCGCCCACGATTTGTGGAAGGACTTCTTGACCAGCGGGCATTTCCTGCTTGAGTCGAAGGCACCAGAAGCAAAAAGGGGACTTCATCAGCTCCATGAGAAAGAGAGCTCCCCAAAATTCGCGAAGCTTTCTGCGGCGCTTGGGCCGTCACGCCGTTCTGCCATAATGTGGGGGTCTGGCTACAGCCTGTCTTCGTGTCTCCCGCTTCTGCATGACGGCGCAAGCAGCCAGGCACAAGCAAAATGCGACTGGTCCCACTCATGCTCTGTCCATTCAACCCTGCAAAGGAAGGCGCCACAACGTCAACGCCATCAGATCATGGGCTCATGGGCTGAAAATATCGATTGATCTGATTCATGCTCTATGCTTCTGAAGCCGCGTGTCCTTCCCTGGATGCAGGCAGGCCCCCCCAATTTGCGTGTTTGTACAGAGGGCTCAGTACCTGCTATAGACCTGGCAAGAGCAGGTGGGAAAAACAAGAAAAACACCAAAAAAGTAGCACCCTGTCAGCAGGCGACGAGCCTCAAACTTCGTGGCTGAAGCGGCACTCGTCCCCGAACTTGCAGCTTCCGTTGTCCCTGCAGCAGAGCTAGAACACCAAACGGGGTGTGGTATATACAACTTCAATAAAAAGCTTAGCCGATCGCCTGAAGTCGTAGCAAACGCCTGACTCAGAGGGCGCTTCTCTCGCTGAGACGAAGGCCGGGTCTCGAAGGATCGGGTCGGATCAGGCCGCTCTGCTTTTTAGACATACCCGCTATCATTTCAGACCCTGAAAAGTGCCATGCAGGGAAAACGAACTGACCATGCCACAATATACAAGTATACGGTATACGCATCAAGTCAGCAGTGAAAAGAAAGATTTGCGAGAGGAGCGTCCGGTGATGCAAACGCAGCTGACCATCAATGACGTGCTCTTGGGATTACTATGGCGGCTGCTCCCCGCACTCGAGCAGATCCAGAACAGGTTGCAAGCGGCTGCAAGCGCTTGTCCAGTCACTCTCGGGCCCCGGCCTCCACCTTTGCCGCCTTTGCCCTTAAAGCCCTTTCCTTTGCTCCAGCCCTCGGGGCAGTCCCGCGCCTGCGCAGCGCCCAATGTGTGGCAGCGAGTGGCGGTGTTCTTTGCTGCGGCCGAAGGGGCGAAGTGGTCGCCGCCGCAATTGAAGCAGTCCACGCTCTTGCCCTGAAGAGGGGCCGAGCTGTGCGCATGAACTCTTCTTCTGACTCTGACGGCCTTCTTGCCCTTCCCTTTCCCCGAATCTGGGCAATCTCTGGCCACGTGGTCGCCTTAGGGCAGCCCCGACGCGGAAGCTTCCCTTTGTCAAACAGAAGCGCGCCTCCACAGTTCCAGCAGCTCAGAGGCCCCTGACAGAGTCTAGTAGCTATAGCGCCTCTTCGTACCGCTTTGTGTTCTGCAATTCAAACGAAACGCCTGGCCTTGCTCTTTCCCTTGCCATCCTTGCCCTTTCCTTTCGGACCGTCTGGGCAGTCGCGCGCGAAGTGATCACCTCAGACAAGGAAAACGGAGTACAGACAAACACACACACACACACTCGCGCACACACACCCACACACACGCACGCTTTCTTTCGCCAGGGTTAGGGGTAACGGGAGTGGGCCGCCCTCAGCTCTGTGTCTCTGTCTCTCTTTGCAGAACGTCGGCTGAACCGCGTGTAAAGAGCAAGGCGAAAGTAACAACAGAGAGCTCTCTTCATTGTATCATTAGGCGATGAAGAATGAGCGAAATGAAAGGGAAACAAATACTTCTTTTCTCTCACGTCTCTTTCCTCGTTTCTTCATTTCACTTGTTTATTTTCTATTCTCTTTCGCTTGGTCTGAATGTCCAAAAAGCTCTTGTGCGCAATCCCTTCCAGAACAACGGGCTATATAGAATCAGATGATCGAGCTCATGACCTTTTCTGCAAGAGATTTTGGAGTCGACACTATACTCGCCGAGTGTAGACAGAATCGAACAGCATCTTGAACTTGTGGATAATGCATAATCCACTGTTCATTGATGAACTTGTGCCAATCAGCAAACTGAACTGGCAATTACTGCGTCTTTTACTGCCGGAAATTCTGCAGACAGAGTAAGTAGGATCATGTGCATTTACAACCACTTTACATGACGGGATATGCAATGTAGACGCGGAATTGCTTCTGGAAACCGCCCAAATTACGATCTCATCCACTGTTCCACAGCTGAAACAAAAGTTCGATGTGCCTAAATACGGTTTAAGGGTTTGGGGCTTAGGGTTTAGGGTGTAGGGTTCAGAACCCTAAACCCTAAAGTGGAAGTCTTACGTCAGTCGAAGCGGACTCAGCAAATCAATACCCGAGACAGACGCTCGAAGCAAATAAACTGAACATGAAAGGAATCGTTGGTTGTTCCGGCGAGGCCATACAATGTGGTCCACACAAGGCCTAACAGACTGGATAACTTGCTCAACAGTTGCAAGGAAAACCATTTGCACGGGATCGAGGCTCAGACTCGCTTCTGAAGTCCAGTAAGTCTAGTAGGCTGCAAAGATCGTCGATATGCTTGTTTGTGAAACTGTACGAGTGTTGAGTGCTGGCATCTCGTGTCAGTTGCCCAGCACGACGGTTTCTCGTATCTCTTGCGCATGTCGATCACCCAGGAGAATATAGAAGTGGTTCAGCATCTTGCGGGCTCAGCTGCATAATAATGTCATGCATAATCTCGCAGACAACATGATGGCACTACTCACTACTCTGCACTACTCGTAGACGTTTCTACTCACTTACAGGGCAAAGCTTTCACTCACGACAGACGACAGTGAAAACATGCATGCAGCCATGGTAGCTTGCACAATTTTCCCTGCCGAAAACCCTCAGCACTTTGCAGGCACTACTCGAAGACGCACGACTCTCCATCATGCACCAACACTTGCAGTTGAAAGAACTATGCACCACGGCAGCCACAACTTCATGTTCAAGGTTGCCAAGATGAGTTTCTTGAACTGCACTTGTGAGATACAAACCGACCGGCACGAGCTCCCACATAGCTGCGATGCTTTGACAGAGGACATTGAAGGACTGCTCATGAAACTCATGCCAATCGGTCTAGCCGGCGAGCCGCTAGTAGTACGCCATTTGGCAGACTGGGTACCCGTACTCACTTTGCAAAACGAGCCGAACCGCGTGCGATGCCAACGCAAGACCTCATGTCAACTTGTGCCGTGCAGAAGCCTTGAGCTTCGCTTCGCAGATACGTCAGGGTGATCAGCCGTTGCAAAAAGCTTCGTTGGGCAGAGCTCTGCGAGGTCCCTCTGGGAGTCCCTCTGCCTCTGCCTCTGCACCCCCTGCAATTGTGTTTTCTGCACAATGGCCACATGGCTTTGGGTTTAGGGCACACAGGAAAATCATGTTGGCAACACATCGACGCGACTCTACCCTCGCGGAGAACGAACCCGCTTGCAATGTCATTTTTTTAATGCGGCGCATGTGGAAAGCAGAGGCTTCAACTTTTCAGTCACCGGCTGCAAAGGGCAGCTGAGCTCCTGACCACCGCAGTTGAAGCAATCGATGGGTCCCCCCATCTCGGGATCCGAAGGGGCGTTTCAGCGCCTTCGCAGCGGTGAAAAGAGACGGAAAGCTTCTGAGAAGGTGCGGCTCCGGGCTGCAGGCAGGGCTGCAGGCAGGGCTCGTGAGGTCGCGAGGCTGAAGAGCCGAAACAGCTGAAATGGAAGAAGCGCTCTCTTTTCCGGCTCAAGGCCCAGATTTGGGGCCGCCTGCAAAAGCCGAGCGAGGCGGCCCCCAGCTGAGACCTCGACCGGCGCCAGAAGGCGCTTCATTCTCGTCCTGTCTCGCATCCCTCTCTGTGTCTCTCAATCTGCTTCGAAGGCTGGCGAAGCGGCGAAGAGAGCTCCGACCCCCCGCACCTTATAACTGCAACAGGGATTTCCCGAGTTCAGGGTGACACGTCTTGAGCCGAACGGCCGGGGGGAACGGCCGGGGGTGCACGCAAGCAGTGTCGCGGGTTCTCAATGCTGCAGCACGCCCCCGGCTGAGCGAGTCAAATGCACTGGCACTGGAGCCGTTTCGTTCCATCGCGGACACAACAGCAAGTCTCACTCAGCGCCTACTTCCAGCCTGATTGAAACTTGATTTGTCGGAAAGGTGAGCTCTTGAGGTCTTTTTGAGCTGCTTGCTGCTTGCTGCTTGTAGCGATCGCTCGTAAGGTCTGTAGCACAGCTGTCTTCAATGCATCTGCTTCGATATCGGGAAGAGATTATCTTTGAAACTGCGTCAGAGACTCCAGAGGGCCAGTGATGCAGTAGCGATGTCCCTTCGTCGCGTGGCCCCACACGTCTGCACGCGCGTTGGTGCCTGAGGCAGGCGGGAGGAGGGAGGGCTCTTTCAGACAAAGGAAGCCCTGCTGAGAGTCTCAGAGGCCTCCGAAACCGAAGGATGACACGCCGGTGAGCCCACTGTTGTTGCCTCCGAGGGAGAGGGAGAAAAGAGCCAATTGGGCTCTGCTGCGCTTTCTGCTCAGGGCCAAGCCGTAGTCTAGCAACTCGGACTCGAAGTACACAGGATAGCCTCGGGCGCCAAGCTTGGGGCTTCGTAGGGCTTGGAAGTCCCTCTGAGGCTTTGGCCGGCCACATCCAAGTGCGGGTTCAGCGTCAGGAGATGGATGTTGGGAGCGCCCGAGGAGTAGTTCAACATGCAGATGCACTTGATCAAGCCTGGCCCACCAAGGCGAGGCAGAGCGAGAGAGAGAGAGAGAGAGGAGAGAGAGAGGAGAGAGAGACCGCGAGAGTGAAAGTGAAAGGGGATATCCTATTGCAGAGTATATCATATACATAATATTTATATTTACATTAATATTATATATATATATATATACTATATATATATATATGTATACGTATAGGTGGATATAGACATGTGTATATATATATATATAGATACTGTATACATATATATATATATACATACATATGTATATATATATATGCATATAGATATAGGTTTTACCAGTATATCATATATATATATATATACACATTAATATACTTTCATTTCTCTACTTATTTACATATGTATATATACACATGTATACACATGTTGTTTTGTATATATTGGGGGGGGGTCGTTTTGATGTGGCTTACTTCGGTTCTGAGCCTAGGGGCTGCCCACAGATTCAAAAGATTGGCGTGCAATGTCCTAAACCCTCTAAACCCTAAACCCTAAACCCTCTAAACCCTCTAAACCCTAAACCCCCTAAACCCTATAAGCCCCAAGCCCCGTAAACCCTTTAAGGTGGAGCTGTGCTTGGACTTTGGTCCCTGGAAAGCTCCACCAGGCCCCTCGCTTCCATCTCCACCATCCTAAACCCTAAACTTTCCTAAACCCTAACCCCGGGATTAGGGGTTTGGGGTTTAGGGGTTTAGGGTTTAGGGGTTTAATTTAGGGTTTGGGTTTAGGGTCACATGTTGAGGAGAGACGAAAAGAAGCTCCGGATGGGTTTCTCTCAAAGCGCTGGGTGTGCGGAAAGCATCGAGAGCTCCAAAGCATCTTGCTAGCTTGAGCATGGCTTTTACATGAGTCACTTCAATGACTTGAATAGACTCGGGTTTAAGGTTTACGGTTTAGGGTAACCCATAACGTTAGGTTGGCTGCTGTTAGATTGAAAGGAGGAACCACTCCTGGCTGAACCATTCCCCCCAAACATGTTCTGGGCTTTACCTAGAGTCTCCATTGTTGTTCCCTTTTGGGGTTACCCTTTTCAGACCCTTAATATAAAATTGGTTAAACCAAAAAAAGGAACTACAATGGAGACTATAGGTAATAACAATGAACTGAAGTTCTCCAACACCACCCCAGAGTTCGAAACTGCCGCACAAACTCCCGATACAGCCCTAGCAACGCCCTATTTAGTAAAACTTGGCTTCTTCACGTCCTTGTAATAGTAACCCCTCGACAAAATTCTGCAACACACGTATACGACTCGGCGAAACCCTACAGGGCCTTGGTTTTCCCTAAACCCTGAACCCTAAACCCTAAACCCCTAAACCCCCAAACCCCTAAACCCCTAAACCCTAAACCCTAAACCCTAAACCCTAAACCCCTGAGCCCTAAAACCGAAAGACCCACCAAGTTCGGCACCTTCCAGGGTATGGCCATCGACCTGGCACCAGGCGTTTAACATATGGGGGTTTCCGAAAATAAGGGACCCTAATATAGTACCCTAAAGAGTAGGATCCTTATTATAAGGACCCCCAAATAAGGTACCCCAATTATCGAAAACTCCCATATTCGTTTGTTTTGCAATTTCCGGTAAGGACTTCAGCTTTCGATATGCCTGAAGGTCTTTAAGATGTGGTGAAGAGGGTTATTTCCCTCTCGCATTAATGAGAACTTTACTCACGGCTGTTGGGCCCTCCAATCATGAGGGCTGATGGTGAAGAGGTTTGGATGTAAGACTGTTTGGGGCAGGGTTCTGCAGGGCTTCGAGGCTTTCGAGATGGCGTTACTGCATGAACCAAGAATTGCAAGCTGGTATGGTCGGATTGTGACAGCAGGATGCCGGGTGCAGTAGGCTTTCATAGAGCACAGCATGAGATATCTCAGTGGATTCTGGCATGTACTAACCTAAACCCTAAACAATAAATCCTAAACTCTAAACCCTAAACCCTAAACCCTAAATAAACCCTAAGTCCTAAACTCTAAACCCTAAATCCTGAATCCTAAATCCTAAACTCTAAAACTTACATGACATGACAAGAGGCTTTAGGCCGGTTTTTGCTCATGGCCTAAGTCTAAGCCAGGGTTTGGGGTTTAAGGCATGGTACTACAGGATATCATTGTGGGTGGCAAGTCCCTATTTCCTACTTGACGGAAGAAAGGCGTTTGTATGTATATGTACTACTAAATCGCCATGGAATGTTAGGGTATGTCGTAGCATCATACTCTTCTTCCTCGGATATATTCAGAAAGCAAACGCTAAACCCTAAACCCCTAAACCCCTAAACCCCTAAACCCTAAACCCTACCACGCCAACACTGCAGCACCCGGAGCCCCCGAAAACCAGGGGCGCCTGGATCGAGGCTCGCGATGTCACCGGGACACCGGCCTCAATCGTATCCCAAAGGGAGGTACTGTTGTGGGGGATACGATCGGAACTCTACAGTCTACCATAATATGGCTATGGGTGCTTAGGACCTGTTGGGCATGGGAAGTTATGGCCTGTTTTTTTGTGGGTTCGCGCTGTTTGTGTGCTTGTGTTGTCGCCTTTTTGCTGTGCCTTTGGTCTCTGCGGGTTGAGGGGTAGAGAGGCTTTGAGGGCTTAGGGCTCCAGGGCTTTGCGGTCGAATACTACCTGTAGCCGAAAAACCTACCCTTCTAGGGTTCCTTTTTATGATTTCTATATACAGTTCCTTAAAAAGGTAAGTCTTTTGGGCCACAGGTAGGCTTTGCCTACAGCTTTGCTTGTTTTGTTATGTTGTTTGTGCGCGAGAGGGGGAGCGAGCCAGGGCTTGCGCCATGGTGGGGCCCGACAATAATTAGACTAGGGTTTCGGGAGTTCCTCAATATAGTTATAGAGTATAGTATACCCCAAAACCCTATTCTAATCACTAAGGCCCCTAAACCCTAAACCTAAACCCTAAACCCTATTCTGATCACTAAGGCCCCGATCTTCCGTGCTCTGTCTTAAACCCACGAAGCTCCAAAAGGGTCCAGGGCACAGGGACTCCTACGTATGCCGCTAGATCCTGCGAGTCAAGGCTGCAAGTGACAAATAACTTCAGGTTTAGTGTAGGTTTAGACCCCGCCCGGTTTAGGGTTTAGGGTCTAGGGTTTAGGGCTTAGGGTTATAGGGTTCAGGGTTATAGGGCTATAGGGTTTAGGCGCTCTGGCAGCAGTCTCCCAAACCAGGTCGCGCGAGCGTGGCCACAGCACACCGGGCTTCTCTTGGAGCTATCAGCACTCACGGAGTTCAGGAAGGATGCTGCAACTGGTTAAGGGTTTAGGGGTTTAGGGGTCTAGGGTTTAGGGGTTTAGGGTTTAGGGTTTAGGGGTTTAGTAAGGGTTTAGGAATTAGGGTTTAGGGCTGCAACTGGCTCGAGTTTTTCCAGTCCTTCTCCAGGCTGCCCCCCCCACAAAAGGCCCAACTCACCATCACCCGGCTGCCCAGCTGGAAGATGATCCGCCAGCTCAAGCTGCAGGCGCTGCTGCCGCGTTGACTTGCGAGCTGGCGGGCCTCTGTGCCTGAAATATCTAACCATGGTGGTGTGGGGGTCAGTAATTTATCTCGCCCTTGAAGTAGCTTTATGTTGCCCTGAACCCTAAACAAATAAGTCCCCTAAACCCTAAACCCCTGAAAACCACAAAGCCCAGAGCCCCTACAGCGAGTTCGCAGTTCATGACCGGGTCTTCGCGGATGTCAGGGGCGTTGTCGTGCCCTGCCACCGCCCCACATCCACCGAAACAAGTTTAGGGTTCAGGGTTCAGAGCTTCGGGTTTAGGGTTCAGAGTTTCGGGTTTAGGGTAGTACTAAGTTCTAGGCGGCACTAGCATTGGTTGTAGGCACACCCTCCTGGCATGGAACAGACTACCGCAGTTCTAGGACATGGATGTCTCGGGTTTCCAGAAACTCCAAATTCCAAATTCACACTAAGGAATATAGCCAGAGGGGCACTATAAGGTTTAGGAGTTTAGGGTTGGCTTCGGAGAAAGGGCAACCATTCAGGCTACCAAGAAGGCCCTAGAAAACCTTCAAACCCAGCTAAACGGCAAAGCTTTTCAACGCTACCAGGTAAACCCTCAACCTGCAGGAATCCTCAAACTC